TATGGTTGATGCTATTTGCTTTGCTTTCCCCAGAGTACACAGAGGTGTACTCTATGCATCTGCCCTCAGAACATCTTGCCACTTCCCAAGCACATCATGCCCTTTCACGCTTCTGTGCTTTGGCACCTTTTGTGCCTGAAATGCTATTCTAGTCCCCCACTGTCTGGTCAAATCCTACAAGGCAGCTTAAATCCTTTTGGAATGAATAGGATATAAATAAGCATGTATTCAACCTTCAACACCCAGCTCAAATATCACCTTTGCTGCAAAACTTTCTCTGACTCCCAGACAGATTTAGTCATTCCTTCCTACTGTGCTGTCATCGTAATTAACACTGTGGTACAGTTGTTTATGCCTTCTTACACTGGAAGATAGACTCTTGAGGACACATCCTCAATACGTGCTTTCAAATGCTGGGATCATAGTAGATGGTCCCAAGAAGAAATTTTTGAGCAAGCAAGCCCATTTAGTCCTGTGCTTTTTTTTTCTTTCTTTCTTTTAACTAAAGATGAATCTTCTTTTTCCTGAGAAGTTTCCCCTCATCTTCCTCTTAAGTTGAGAACAAAAGTTTGAGAGAAAATGTCATAAAGAGATGCGGTCAGTCACATTAGACTAGAGATCAACAGAGAATATCTTTTCTAACTCATACCTAATAAATAAATAAATAAATAAATAAATAAATAATCTTTATGCAAATCTAGATTCAAGTTCAAATTCTTAAACTTTCTTCTAATCATAGATTTTATTTCGGTCTTGATTTATGAGAAGAGTTTAAAAACCATAAGTGTTTAATAAATGTTAGAAAACACAATTCTCTGTATGTTTGTGTGGCTACAAAGCAATGGATTTATTCTGTGGAAGTAATCAATATCAATCTCCAATCACATTTTCTATAAACAAAGGCTCATTAGCAGTAGAATATTCTAATTTCCCTTTTTATAACATTTTAAAGCAAAAATGTAAAGGGGATATTTTATACTCATTTTTCTCCTTACTATATGATGTTAATTAGTGTAGTGGCTAGACTGAGTGGCACTTTGTGTGTACATCAACTTGTATAGCAACAGAATTATAATAACTGCAAGATTTGACATTTTCATCCACTATCATAAATGAACCATGGTTTTCTTTTTGGAACCCTGAAATACTGTTTCCCATAGAACTGAGACTAATGGAAAGTGGAAACACCAAACCTTCTTACTCTTCTGGACTGGAAGTCACATCTATACAGTCAACCTATAACTTTTCATTTTCTTACTGTGAGTGGTAATTCGCTAAACAATTACTTAGCTGATATGAGTTGGTGCTTCCCCTTTCTCCACTAATCCTTCTTTGTCACCTCCATCAAGACTCACTTCTGGGTAGGGAGGAGCAGTGTAAGAGGAGAGGAAGGCTGGAGATATCTCCCAGGACGGTGTGTACTTGGAAAAAAGCATGAGCAGGCGTGTGAACATGATGCTGGCAGATCAAGGCTGGCCGAGATTGCAGCATTTCCTACTAACTATAACATTAGACAGGTGCATTGTTGAAGAAGACTGGTTATGTTCACAATTAGTTCAGGGTATCAAGGAAGGCTTCAGTTTTAAGTGTCTAGTTAAATACACTGAAGAAACAGAGCTAAGAACACGATTTGGAAATACCCACCCTATCAGCAGTCATTCCGCTTTCCCCAGCCACCTCAAAGCACTCATCACATAAGCTTTGTAATAGAGTATTGTTCTCTTCTTCACAATTGGATTGTACTCCCTGAAGGTAGGAAATGCCTTTAATTCGTCTTTATATTCTCAAGGGAGTCTAGCAAAGCGTATACCTCAATATATTCTTGTTGAGCAAATAATCTGAGTATCCATCATTCAGAATTAGTTGCTAACGCTGAAAAGCAATTTCATACTGTGCCCAGATGTACTCATTTAAATTACAGATCTTCAGCAAGTCTGAAAAGAGAAGGCACTTGCTTTCTGTAAAATTCACCAAAAAGAGTGTTCAAACTATTTGCCTTGCTAGCTGAGGAGCCTATTGAAGAATAGCATTGTTCTCCTGAGGCCACCATTTGATAGTTTCATCTCCCTTGGCTGCAGGAATAGTCTCTGGGGGATGCCTAGCCTATGTGTTTATGTAGTTCAGAGTTTCAGGGCTTCTGGAAGTCTATTATAAAACAAGCCAGATTCTAATTTTGAGCTGAGAACCCTAAAAATCTCCCCTAATTAAAGATTTAAATGGGAGGCAGAGAAACGCAAAGACATAGCAGGCCACCAACCCCAGATGAAAAAGGAACTCCTGTTTGTACTTGAGAAACAATTTACATGAATAATAATAAATCACAACAAACTAATTTTAAGTTAGCTTCAATATCCACAATTTAAACATATTAATTGCTATATATGCACTTAAATATAACTGAAATGTTGTACAGTACATGGAAATCCATAATTATAAAATTGATAATTGAGAGTTTGGAGAGAGGTTTACCATTGAATTAGTTTTTTAATAGCATCTTCCCATTTTGCATTTAAATGTGATTAGTTCACAATGCTTGATTGGATTCCCTCTTCTCTCCTATTCCCATGTCTCACAGCTATTAACAAGGTAATACACCCAAATCAGAGGTGCAGTGGAAAGTCTGTTATAACAAGGAGTCTGGAAAATCTTGCCCATTGTATGATTGAACCTTGAAAGGCTGAGAAGAGAGATCAGGCCTTATTTCTGATCAGGAAAATTCACAGAAATGAAGTCCCAGGGTATCACAGGGGAGAGAAAAACTATCTGCGTCTCCCCAACTACATTCAAATAAATCCTCAAATAAATGACAGAATCCATTACAATTAGAAATAAGCACTGGCGAATTTGCATTCATCTCTACCTCTTTCCTTTGAATTTCAGAGGAACCATTGTTTCCCCTGCACCTAATCCTTCTCCCACATCTTAGTCCCCTCTTCTCTCATCTCCTTAGAACTTGGCTTCATCAATAACTTCCTTTTCTTCCTTTCTTTCCATTCAAAAGTAACAAGAAGTCTATCTCAACTCACTCTTTTAAACTTTCATACCACTGCAATATGCCTGTTACTGAAAGTATTTTCCCTAAGGCTCTAGTGGTTACTTTTAGAAGAAATATCTAAGGGACATTCATTGGTCCTTCTCTCACCTTGAACCCTTTGCTACATTGTGCACTGTTGACCCTTCCTTCCTTCTTAATACTCTCTCTTCTTTAGATTTCCAATGTAACAGTTTTTCCTGATATCCTCATAATCCCTGTGTTTTTAATTCGAAGCCTGGCTCCCCCACTTTCTCTGTGTGGCCTTTCTCTGTGTGGGTAAGTGACAAGAACTCAAGTGTTAGTTATTCTGAACTTGTCAGCCTCCTTTCGGCCCCTGCTGTGTCAGTCCAGGTCCCAGCAGGCAAGAAAAGCAACAGTAAAGAGTCTAATAAAGGCAGTATTACAAGGAATGGGGAAGCAACAGAAAACCATTACCAGAGCTGGGATAGAACTGGAACTGTGGTAAATAGGAACTTTGTTTATGAGAGAATTCAACTGCCAAAACCATAGTTAAACTGGGTTGGGAAGTAAAACAACAACAACAACAACAACAACAACAACAAAAAACGCTGACCACCTCTCACTCCTACTGTCCTCCAATATTCTGCTGGTGTCTCTCATTGGTTGAACCTAACTGGAAACCCACAGCACAAAAGAGCCTGGAAAATGCAGGCTCTAGAGGTCGACTTCCTGAGATGCGCAGCAAGCCAGGGGAAGGTGGAAAACGAACTTGGATGGAGGACCAGAGAGTGCAGCCAGCATGCACGCACGCCGCCACCACCTCCTCCATTCGCTTAAGATGTATTTTGTGTGCCAGGGGCTATTCCAAAGAGTCAAGGAACAGGGGTTGACGACATAGGAAAGATACCCACTTTCTTGATGTTTTCATTCTACTTGGAGATAGAAAGTAAAGGAATAAATATGTAAGACAATTTCAAGGGGTGAATGTGCCAGGAAGACTGTGACGCAAGGAGGGCAGTCCTTTTGCGAGGGTAATCAGGGAAGATAGTAGTAGAGCTTAAAATGAGTAAGAAGTCGGAAACCAGGCTTTCTAAGAACCAAGGGAAGCATGTTCAAAACAGAGAAATCAGTAAGGGCTAAGTGTAAACACCCTGGGGTGGAACAAGTCTGGCACCTCCAGGGGAGACAAAGGGGGCCCAGCTGGCTGGAGCATGCTAAAGGGAGGATGGCAGGAGGTGAGGTAGGGATGGCAGGCAGAGGCTAGATCATAAAGGGCTTTGTAGACCAGGCTAGGGTTTGGTTTTTTCCCTAATGCAATATAACAGTTTTAGGCTGGTTGTGGTGGGCTGGTATGTGTGGATGAAGACACATCTGATTTCCAATTGTAAAATATAATTTTCATGATTCTGTGGAAAATAAATTGTAACGGGACATGAGTGGAAATGTCCCCTTGCAGTTTGTATTGCCCTGACCAGAATTCCTGGGTCCAGAAGAGCTAGATGGCATTTTGGGTAGGGGTGGCATGGTTTATACCAAGATGGGTACCTGACCCAAGAGTGGCCCATCAGAGGCTGGCTGGTGGCCCATGAAGTGGCTTAGAGCTAAGAGCTCTGCAACTGGATTATAGTCCTCTGAAATGTCAACTAGAGGGTAAGAAGAGGACTAGTTAGCCAGTTGGTAGTATGAAAATAGATTAGAGAGCTAGAGAAGAACAGAGACACAATGAGAAAGAAATAAGAGAGTAGTTATTATGCCTGGGTTCCTAATAGCTACTCATATATCCATATAAATACTCTTGTTTCATCCTCATTTAATTAAGGTAGTCTTAGAGTCTTTCTTTTTTGAAAGCAAGAGTCTAATAAGCACATTGGTGTTTCCCAGTTTCCCTCTTTAGATCTCTTCTTCTCATTCACTTTAGTTAGGAGTGACAAAGCTCTGCTTTGGTAACAATTAAAACTCTCAAATCTCAGTGGCTTAAAACAACCAAGGTTTGCTTCTCACTCACTTTACATGTCCATCAACACACAGCTAGGACTCTGTTCTCCATGATCTTCCCTCCAAGACCAAGACTGAAAGAGCATGTATTCTCTGGAACATTGTTGATTGCCATGGCAAAGAGAAAAAGGGTTCTGGAAGGTCTTGCATCAGCAATGCTACACTCACAATTCACTGGCAGAACGTGTCATGTAGCTCAACCCAACCACAGGGGGCCAGGGCAGGCAATCCAACCGTGTTCCTGAAAGTGAACAGGAGATATTTTGTACACCTACTACCATTTACTCATCCAGAACCATGGTTTTAATTGCTGCCCATACACCAATGCAAACATTACTAAAAGAGATGCCTCATTTTAATTTCATATCCATACTTTTAATCATCTACTAGAATTATCACATTTGGATGGTATCAACGACATCTCAAGTCTCATATATCCAGACTGAACCCTTAATCTTTCCCACAAACTTTCTGTATTCTCTCTCTTGGCCAGTGGCCCCATTATCTATCTACTACCTCAAATAAGAAACCTAGGTGTTATACTTGATTCCTTCTCCCTTTCTTCTAACACCGAATTGGTCACCAAGCTTCTCTCTAATTTATCACCATTCTACTAACACAAGGACCATTATCCTACTTCAGTCCCTCCTGGATTTTAGCCTCCTGTCTGGTTTTACTGCCTTCATTTCTTAGCCTACAAACTGCAATCATTTGTGTATTCAATGAACATTTAAAGGTGGTGTATTGCTTCTTAGACTAAATAAGTATAGCATCCACCTTGAAGAAATCCAAAATCTAAAGAGGGAGACAGTGATGTAAAAAAAAATTACAACACAATGGGACAAATGTGATAATAGCTATGTAGAAAGTAGCCTGGGAATGGAAAGGCAATACCAAAGTGGGCGCCATGGTGATGGGAAGGTAGTGTGGGATGTTTCTAGGGACGAAGCAAAACTTCAGGTAAATGCTGAGGGAGCAGTAGGAGCAGCTCCTCCGTGTGAACCACAGGAGCAGGAAAAGGACTTGAAGGAAGCAGCATGTGCCTGGCACCTTGCAGGGACTCTTCCTGACTCAGCAGAACCAGCACAATGGCATGAAGGAGCAAGCAAGCACCTGATCAGCAAGGACCCAAAGTGCCTGATCAGTTATTTGGCAGGCAACTGAGTGGAAAGGTCATCTGTGGAGGTATGAAACCCAGAAGGAAGAGCAGCTCTTTGGGGGATGATACCCTTCCTTAGTTGACATTTACTGAACACTGACTTCAGGCAGAGTGCTCACTCACCACCTTACTTTATCATTTTTCGTAATCCTCACAACCATCTTAGGGGGTAAGGTTGTACTATTATCTTCATTTTGCAATTTAAAAAGCAACACTGAGATTCAGGGATTAATGACGTGACCAGTTACTAAATCTGTTTTGCACCTGAGCCCAAGTTCATTATCTACCAAGCTATGTTGAGTGAGGTGCCTGCAGGAACTCCATGGGCAAAGAGACACAGACTCTGGGGTCGTGGGGGTGGAGGGGACGGTGGGATCAAGACTGGGACGCTTGGATGAGATGGCTCAGAGAACTCTAAAAAGGAGAAAATGGGACCTGGAGAACACTAACCTCAAACAGGCAAAAAGAGGAAAAGAAACCAGAGAAAGAGTTTGAGAATCGCCATCTGATAGCGCGAACCCTCAAGAAATGTCCTCCTGTGAGTCTTTTTCACATGCCCCCAGTCCAGTGCCTGGCACTGCACGAAGGGCCTCCGGAGTCAGCAGGGGCGTCTGTCCAGGGGAGCCTTCATACCTGTTTCCCGGCTCCTAAAGGACCAAGCGAGCTGAACCCCAGAGAGGCAAACCAGAGGCGGGAGGGCGGGGTGGAGGACAGCGGCAAGCCCCCTCAGAACAGACCACGAACTCTTTCCCTACTTCGCCAGAGCGGCTGCGGACGTGAGCGCCACCGACAGCTGCCCGCTCGGGTCAGAGGTCACCGCGGAAACGACCCCGAGGTACTGGCGAGGATCCAAGCCGCTCCTCCGCCCGAGAGGGGCGCACCCTGACACGCAAGCAGGCGCGCGCCCAGCTGGGAAGGCCGGGAGCGCGCCGGCCCCCCGCCCGCCGCCGGACTCGCCACCTCGCAGCCGGGCCCTCCGTCCCCGGTGCGCGCGCGCCCCCGGCTCCCTCTCCGCTCCCCGCGACTGGCCCCGGCAGCGCCTGGGCTGGGCTTGCCCACGCGGACGCCCCCCGACCCCGGCCGCCCGGCGGGGCGGGGCGGCGCGTCACGGGGGCGTGGCCAGCAGCCGGCGCGCCCCGGCCCCTCCCTCGCGGGCCGAGAAGGGGCGGGCTCGGCCGGCGCGTGGGCCGGAGTTTTCCCACTCTCGGCGGGACTGCAGCTCCGCCGCGGACTCCTCGCCCTCCTCCCGGCCGTTCCCCGTCGCCCGAGCGGACGCCGAGAGCCGAGGCCGGGCAAGCGGAGCGCCATGAAGGGCCGCCGCCTGACGCGCGCCGCGGCGGACGGGCTGGCCGGCTGAGGGCCCGCGGCCGGGCCGAGGGATGCGGAGCCCGGGCGGGATCCTGCTCCAGGCGCTCCCGCGGCTCCTGCAGCACGCCAGCCTCCCGGGCCGCGCCGAAGTGCCGACCGCTTGGGCCCTGCCGCCGGCGGCGGGCGGGGACGACCGGCGACCGCCTCCCCGCGGGGCGGGCGAGCGCGGCGGCGGGCGCGCGCGGCTCGGCGCCCTGCTCGGCGCCTATCTGGAGCGCCACGGTCCGCCCGCGGCCTCGGAGCTGCCGGAGCCGGGCGGGTCCTTGGCGGGCGGGCCCGGGAGCGGCGGCGGCGGCGTGGTGGTCGGCGTGGCCGAGGTGAGAAGCTGGCGCTGCTGCTGCCTCGGCAGCACCTGTTGGTGCCGGAGCCTCGTGCTGGTGTGCGTGCTGGCCGCCCTGTGCTTCGCTTCCCTGGCCCTGGTCCGCCGCTACCTTCAGCACCTCCTGCTCTGGGTGGAGAGCCTCGACTCGCTGCTGGGGGTTCTGCTCTTCGTCGTGGGCTTCATCCTGGTCTCCTTCCCCTGCGGCTGGGGCTACATCGTGCTCAACGTGGCCGCCGGGTACCTGTACGGCTTCGTGCTGGGCATGGGTCTGATGGTGGTGGGCGTCCTCATCGGCACCTTCATCGCCCATGTGGTCTGCAAGCGGCTGCTCACCGCCTGGGTGGCCGCCAGGATCCAGAACAGCGAGAAGCTGAGCGCCGTTATTCGCGTCGTGGAGGGAGGAAGCGGCCTGAAAGTGGTGGCACTGGCCAGACTGACCCCCATACCTTTCGGGCTCCAGAATGCAGTGTTTTCGGTAAGTGGTGTCCCTCTGGCCTATCCCTCTCCAAGTCTGTTTTTGAGCGGTCTTGTCACGGCCCTGGGAGGGCGCTCTATCAGATAAATACCAGCAGAGAAGTGACATGGACTATGGGAGTTACAAATACTTTCCATCACACCCTGGGAAATCTGTCATGCAAATAAGACAAATCGCAGGTGGACCTCAATAGGAAATCTGGTAGAGAAAGAACTACTCCTTTTCCGGATGTGCGTTTGATTAAAAATGAAGAGTCCCTTTTAACTATGGGACGGGGCAGGGAGTGGGGGCGCGACATGAATGGAAATGTCCATCTTTAACATTTGTCATCTTATTCCTGCAGCAGCTTTGGCAACTGTTCGAGGGGAAAGCTTCCCATTCCTAGCTTTCTCTCTTGCATCCATAAATGCATCCAGGGGTTTGACTCAAGTTTTTAGCGATATGGGTCTGAAGGAAGCGGTTTGAGTAAACAGTGGAGGGTGTAGCAGTAGACTCCAGATTTTGAAGTTTCCTAAATCTGTAATAGGTCTTTCCTTCTTCAAATAATTTCCTTTACTTGATGTAAAGGAGAAAATCTTCCTTTTTTTTTTTTTTTGAGGAACTTCATTTTCAAAACACTGAGTAGTAAAACCAAATAGAACAGGTAATCTTTTACTCACTGAGCATGTTTTTCTTCTTTATACACTCCCTCAAGACTCCTTTCTGTCCTTGCATTTATATGTTCTGCTTATTCTACTCAGGTTTCTATAGGTAGTGTGCATCTCTGTGCAACTGATTTAGGATAGAAACGCTGCTATGAGACTATCTGATTAGAAGAAAGGAATCTGATGTTTATAAACTTTGTGACTTTGAAACAAATTACTAACCCTATCTGGCTTCATTTTCCTCTTTTCTAAAGTGATGGGTCAAACTAGATTACTGAATTCTCCAAATTCAATGATTCTAAACTACAAGGAGTTCATGTAGAGATTCCCAGGAATTCAGTCCTTAAGCTATACTTTTAAAAAACTATATATTGTAGTAAAGAGATGCAGCATTCAAAACCAGAGGAATTGATGTATTTTATGTTAGTAATCCTGACTTATGTTTTAATCATTGCTAGTCTCTGGAAACTCTCTCATTTTGTTTTAAATTAAAAATAATTCTAACCAGCCTATCTCTTTATGATGAAATTGATGTATTTTTCTTTTTAAATGTTTTGTGCATATCTTTTGTTGATTCTAACCAACAGCAGCAATGACTATAGAATGGTGTTTAGTAGAGGCAGAGGCAGTGGAAAGATAAGGGGTTTTCTGTAGAGATAAAGTTTGGTGTTTATAGTAGTTTCGTATGGTCACAGCCTTAAATTTCTACCTTTTCACAGCTTTCTATGGTATGAAATATCAATGTGAACTTTGATGCAGTCTTGGGTAATAATCGATCAGCTGTCCTAAAACTTTGAAAGAAGGTTGAAGCTAAGAAACCTGTATAGATTCATTCTGTTAGTTTGCTTTGTCCTCCAGTGTATAGCTTCTGTCCTTGTGCCTTTTCTTGTCCATGTACTCTGTGCCAACTACTATCCTAGGCTCTTTTCACCTATTATTTCTAATCCTTAAACCAACCCTGCAGAAAGTGATTATACACATATTATAGAGTATTGTCCACTAATTAATTAGGAGCACAGAGCTGGTACTCTGGAGTCTTGCTGTCTGCTTAGAATCTGGTGGCCTTGGTCAAGTTGTTTTCTCTGTGCTTCAGTTTCTTATTTGTAAAATTGGAATAGTAGTGGTACCTACTTCATATAGCTATTGAGCAGATTACATATACATAAGATGAATACGTGCAACAGAGCCTGGCCTAACAAACACTTGTTGGCTATGTTGTTTCTGTTGTTATTACTCAAGGTCACCTAGGTAGAAAATAGCAGAGTCAAACATTGAACTCTGGTCTAATGGTAGGTTCTCAACCCATAGCCCTCTATTTCTTTATTGTATATTTAATGCCTAGTGTGGTCATAGGTATATAGTAAGAACTTTATATATTTATTGATTGACAATAAAGTAGGCTTTGCTTTTGATAATGTCTCTTTTTACATATTAAGTATATAAGAAGTTATACTTTGTACTTGGAAATAATTTAAGGTAATCATGTAATTGAAAGCAAGCTTGATGAGAGACAACTCTCAATTTGGCATTATGGGGTCAAGAGAAAAAAAGGGAAAAAAAGAAAAATGGACCCTTGAAATAGGTATTATTGTCACCATTTACTAAGGAAGAAGCTGAGCCTTAGCCATCCAGGAACTTATTTAGAATCATCTACCTGCCAAGGGGCACAGCTGAGGTTTGAACCCAGGATTGGCTGATACGGTCCATGATAGTGTAAGATTCTTACTCATAGCCATGAACAGAGTGGGTTGTGAAGCCACTGGATATGCTCTGTTACATCTTGTTTATTCCTGTTGTTCTGAACTGTCTGTTTACAGAAGTAGCCCTTTCAACCAAAACAGTTTACTGAATTCATCTAGGATTGGTGAGAGAAAAGCAAAGTAGTTTAGGCTGGTGTTGGTTTTAGTTTGACCTTCCCTTCTGTCTTCTAGAACTACATTCTACCTCCACCTTCTTTCTCTACCTCATACCATTCTGGCTGACCACAGCTGCCACCTTTTCAGGCGTATTTCTCTTGTTTTCCACTTCCTTCCCTATCTTTGAAATTATGTTTTTTTAAAAGTCCCAGTTAGAATTCATTTTCTCAATGCCCATGATTAAAAAAATTTATCTAGGCTTACCTCAAAAGAGGAAGTTAGGTATAATGGTCATGAAAAACAAAGACTTTGGATGAACAGTCCTGGATTAGTCCATGCTGTGTGTTCTCTGTGTTTCCTCATCTGTAAAATTGAATAGAGTTATGAGACTTAAATAAGCTAATGTACTGAAGGCATTAAGTATTATGCCTGGCTCATAGTCCCTTCTTATTGTTATTTTTAAGTGGTAGAGTAGTTGTATTAGGTTGGTGCAAAAGTAATTGCAGTTTTGGACCATGAATTTTAAATCATTATAACTAGGTTCAAACACATCCTAATAGTCAAAATAGGAACTATTACGATCAACACATTTTTTTGCCAACAAGAAATAAGTTTGTTTATTCCTGTAGTGCAAAAATCCATGCTTTGGGACAAACTCTTAGAAAGCATTTTCTGCATCTTGCTGGTTGTGGAAGTGTTTTCCCTGCAAAAAGTTGTTGAAATGCTTGAAGAAGTGGTAATTGGTTGCAGAGGTCAAGTGAATGTGGGCGGATGAGGAAAAACTTTGTAGCCCAATTCGTTCAACTCTTGAAATGTTGGTTGTACGAGGTGTGGTCGAGCGGTGTCATGGAGAAGAATTGGGCCCTTTAGAAAGAAAGGAGGAGACATATCATTGGTGACTTGGAAAGGAAATCCAGGTTGTGCTGTGGACCCAGGATTGCTTTTCCCTATACCAACTTTTTCTATTTTTAAATCTTGCTAAAACAAATATGTATTTTCTTCACTATGAATAACTAGAGTACCCCAAAAGCACATTGCAAAATATGTAAAAGTTTAATAAAGAGAAATAAAGTTGTAATAAGTTTTAAAAAAAGAAAAATAATTAAGTCCTTTTTGTTGACTAATGCCGGCTGCAGGTGTTGCAGTTTTCTGTGCAATGGATTTGCAGAGCATACTTCTCAGATATGATGGTTTAGCTGGAATTCACAAAGCTGTAGTGGATCAGACTGGCAGCAGACCACCAAACAGTGACCATGACCTTATTTTGGTGCAAGTTTGGCTTTGGGAAGTACTTTGGAGTTGCTTCTCAATCCAACCGCTGAGCTGGTCATTGCTGGTTGTATAAAACACACTTTTCCGTTGCACATCACAATCCAGTTGAGAAATGGTTCGTTCTGTACAAGAGAAGATGATACTTCAAAATGACGATTTTTTAAAATTTTTGGTCAGCTCATGAGGCACCCACATATCAAGCTTTTTCATCTTTCCAATTTGCTTCAAATGCTGAGCAACAGTAGAAAGATCCATGTTGAGTTCTTTGGCAACTTCTCTTGTAGTTGTGAGAGGATTGCTCTCAACTGTTACAATGGCCCACCACTGCACTCCTAATCTTCAGGGCTCTCCTCTCCTTTGCAAAACTTCTTGAACCACCACTGCACTGTATGTTTGTTAGCAGTTGCTGGGCCAAATGTGTTGTTGATGTTGCAAGTTGTCTCTGCTGCTTTTAACTTATATTTTCATAGTCTAAATTTTCGTGGTCTAAAATAAATATAAGATAAACAGCTAGTAATAAGTCAATAGCAAAAAAATTAAGTGAAAAATGTGCATCAAAATGACACAAACATTTACGTAAGAATGTATTACAGTATCAAACAGCAAATTTCAACAATGCTATAACTGCAAGTACTTTGCACCAACCTAATACCCCTCCCATAGCCTCTCTCTTGCCATTTTACAATTACTATATGCCCTTTGATGTGTTAATTTATTTAATCCTCAGTACTTTCTGATTTAAACATAGCAAATGAAATCCTGTCTATAACCTTCAAACTTCAGGTTCTCCTGAAGTTTATCAATTCTTGAAAAAAGAAACTCTGGATTTATAAGAAAGTACTGTTGATAACAGTTGTAGGAAGGAGATGGAATCCTAAAAGAATAAAGCCAACTAGAAGAAACTTGTTGATTAAATTGAAAATTGAAGACATTCACAAGAATAACCCCATTCTATATTTAGTAAGCATTAAAGTGTCCTTACAAGGTCTGCTCTGCCTCTGCAATGCCTCTTTGGAGACCTACACTTTAAAGTTAACTCCTGTAAAATGTTGTCTTTGATCCAAAAACATTACATGATAATTGGTTGTTATGGGTAACAGTATTCATATTGGTGCTTGCAACTTCCAGGAGGGTCCAATGTTATTAGGTTGCTCTGTAGGAGATTCTTAAAACCATTCTCTTTTTCATGTTGGCCTAAGAAAAACTTAAAAAGTCAGATTTTTGTAGG